TCTGCCTCCCGAGTGCTGGGATTAAAGGCGTGCGCCACCACACCCGGCCTTCCCTACTTCTTTTAAAGGTTAAACTGTAAGCATTTCAACCTCGCACCAATCATTGGGGCCACCCCGGCCCAAGGCTTCCTTTAGAAGCAGGGTTCACTCCCAGGTCCAGCACCTGCCCACTTGGCTGGGCATAAGTGAGACTCCTGGGAAGGAGCCACTGCAACCCTGCACTGTGGGCTTTGGCCGTCTCCTCCAGCCTTGCCTCTGCAGGAAGCCCTGGGGTGCGGGGACTGCTTGCCAGGTGAGGATACTCCAGAAATAGAAAACTCAGTGGCCCCTCTGGACCTGTTCAAGCTCACACCAAGGTGCAATCCCCCAACAGAGGTATGCAATTAAGTGGGCTGACACCCCTCTATCTGGAGAGCTAGGCACAAGGGTTCCCGGTCCTAGATGTGGAGTGTGGGATTCCACCGTAGCCACTGTCTTCCTGTTTCTAGTGTCCCAGGTCAGGCCAGTCTCAGCCATGCACAGGGGCCTTTGTCCTCTACTTCCAAGGTGAGGGCAAGCAGACGGAGGTGCCAGCAGGGAGGGGCACACAGCATGGTGAGCCAACAGTGAGCTGGATGTCATAGACTGGGGGTGACTTCTGGGAGGCTGAGACAGGTGAAGGCAAGGAAGCCACCGTGCCTTGACCACAGGAGAGGTAGTCACCACAGCTTCCTCCCCAGCAGCTGTGACCTGGGCTCCGAATGCAGAGAAACTTTCACATGATCCGTCCTGGCGCTTACTCAGCATCCACAAGCCTGCATTCCACTTGGTGACCAACTCATTGCGTCCTGTGTACCAAGCAGGGGGCTGTTCCCCTGCACCGAGGCCCTCTCTGGGCCAGGCCGGGGCTAGTGCAGTTCATCCGGGTTCTGTGGCAGCCTGCGGCGACCTGCATCTACCTCACTGCTGCCAACGTCCAGCTCGAAGCCACGGCCCCCTGGAGGTGTCTGTGGCATGAACTGGCGGAAGATGCTTACGCTGCCATGCCAGAAGGTGGGCTCCGGAAGCCGCCCCACCACACTCCATGCTCGGGCCTCTGGGTCATATGCTTCCACCACATCCGAGAGTTCAAATGTGTTGTCATATCCCCCGGACACATAGAGCTTCCCTCCCAGGACAGCCAGGCTGCCCCCGACATGCACCTGTGGGTCAAGGTGGCAAAGTGAGGCAGGCAACAGTGGCAGATTCCCCTACTCCACCCTACAACCTCCGGGGGACAGCCTAGCACTTCCCAGACACAGCATGGAAACCATTCTCAGTCAACAGACCAGACACCCAAACCCGGGAAACAGGGCCTCTGGAATCACACACTTGCGGGAGTCTGGAAAGCGACCCTTCCCTGTGTGATCCATGGTCTCCAGGTGCAGGCCACACGCAGCATCCCCTGTTCTCTCTCACCACCTTTGCACTGGTCCTGTAGAGCCAGCCTGTCGATCCTCTCTACCTTACAGATGGGAGAAACTAGGCTGGTGTAGCCATCACTGGCAGAGCTGGGACTCAATCCTGGCCAAATGTCACCAGGCCTTCCAAGAACCATTGTACCACCAGTCTCGGACTGCTCTTCCCAGTAGTGTCTAATAAATGCACTCCCAGTCAGTTCCTCAGCAATCAGTGGAATGGGGGGTGGGGGGGCCGGTCACTAAAGACCTCCTGCCTGAGCTCATCACTTCCAGCCACAATGGGCTGCTAGTGTTCCTGCACACAGGGGGGCCCCAGGGCCTCCACACTTGCTGTCCCTGCCCTGTGGCATACTTTCCTCATCTTGAGTCATCTCCCCGTGCTCTGCCTCATGGTCAGTGAATACTGGCCCAATGGAGGAACTCAAAAAACCCCGGTCTTGGGCTCCTTTAACATCTGGTATCAACAAGTTTCAAGTGTAATGAGGATAGCACCAGCCTTCCATTAACTGAGACAACACCAGGACAGGGCTCGGCATAGTCCTCACCCACCATGACTGTCCTAAACACTCAATCTTGAGGACACTTGCAAACATCAGGACAAGGCGGACACACCTGCACATTTACCTGATTCATAGACGGGATTTTGTCCCATTCGTTCTTTGTGGGGTTGTATACGTCCACCTCGGCAGAGTCATCCCTGTGCAGAGAATGGGGGGTTGGGGAGGAAGAGAGCCAGAGTGAGGAAGAGGCATGTTGGTATGAAGGGTCAGGAGAGTCCTCAAAGTTGCTGGCTTCTCCACTGATCTGTATAGTTTGGGGTTTTTATGACAAGGTCTCACTACAGTGCCCTGGCTGGCCTTGATCTCACAGAGCTCTGCTGTCCAGGCAGGCTCTGAACCCACTGGGTTGTCCCTAACCTTTGTTGTCTTTCCAGCAGAGACAAAAGAGCCATAGGAAAGGGGCTGGGTTGGGCAGGGCTCCCTAGCACCACCTCTCCTCCCAGCCAAGCACTTGCTTTTCCCTGGGACCAAGACAAGGGGCCACTGTACCACAGGAGGCCCAGGACAGCAGCCTTTCATCCTTCACCAGGAGCAGCTGAGGGCTATGGCCTTCAGAGAGCACTGGCTGCTTCCTTGGAGGACAATACATCCCTGACAGGGCTGTCAAGACACAGGGGGCACTCTGGGCCTGGGGCTATGTGGCTCTTAAAGCCCAAGTCCATGAGCAGAGCAGACTGAGATTAGGCCTGAGGCCTAGCCCTGCACCCAAGAACCTCCCGAACCTCCCCTCTGTCCCGTCAGCTCCCAGTCTGCCCCAGAAGCTGTCCAGGCAGAAAAGCATCCCCTTCCTCTCCCCAGGCATTCAGGTGGAGCTGGAGATGTAGGGCAACATCCTGCCACTTCCAGCAGGGAGGGCTAGCGACTGAAGCCAACTCCCATCCGGAACAGTGAGCGGAGGGCAGCCCTGGGTACATCCTGCTCTAGGACCACAGGACAGGGAGGACACTCTCACAGGTACTGGGCTGACAGCCACTGCCGAGGGGCTGAAGCAGTGACTCTGGCGCTCTCTGAGGTTGTATTTATAGCCACCCCCACCCCCTCCTTGAAGACACCCCAGGAGGCAGGGAGAGCTGGGAAAGGGCCAGGCCATTTTATAATGGGTCCAGGGTTAAGGAGGGTTTCAGGGCTTTCTTAGAGCAGACTTTAAGGGACATGAAGTCCCTCAGCCACTTACATGACAGGCAATGATACTTGTGTTCCTTTTGGAGCTCACCCTGAGGAGGGGCAGCCTCCTGTCTTGGGGGTGAGGCAGGCAAAGGTCAGCACTACTCAGGCAAAGAGAGCGCAGGACCAGAAGCAGACGGCATATACCTCTGGGGGCTCCCAGATAAAAGTCCCATACCAAAAGGAGTTGGGGGGGGAACCGCCATCCACACCCCTTCCTTACCCCAGTGGGTTTTTTTTTTTTTGGTCTTTTTGAGACAGGGTCTCCCTATAGCCCCAGCTGTTCTGGGACTCACTACGTAGACCAGGCTGGCCTTGAACTCACAGAGATCTGCCTGCCTCTGCCTCCCAAGTGCTGGGACTACAGGCGTGCGCCACCACACCCGGCTTTTATCCCAGTTTTTTTAAAAAATATTTTTTATTATCACTTCTTGGCCTTTTGGCTAAGATCAAGTGTAGTTCCTATCAGCTTAATGTCTGATACATCCTCTATCCGAGGACAATATATTAAATGGATTTTTGGAAGCAGGAGTCGGAGTAGGAACGTGCTCTATCCACTCCACACATCAAGCTGGTATTGCAGTACCTGCAGGAACGGTGCATCCAAAGGGGAAAAAAAAACAAAAAACAAAAAACCCTATATACCTATATCTATACTATATGTATACATATAGAGAGATAGATAGATATTATTAACTTTTTATTTAATGTGTTTGAGTGTAATGCCTACAGGTAGGTGCACCATGTTGTGTAATGTCTGGAGAAGTCAGAAGAGGATCCCCTGGAACTGGAGTTAGGGATGGTTGTTAGCCACCATGTGGGCACTGGGAACCCTGGTCCTCTGCAAGAGCAGTCAGTGCTCTTAACTACTGAGCCACCTCCAGTCCCAGTCCTTATCTCAGTTTTAGTCAGGGAGGGCATCAAGAAATGCACGAATGCACACACACACAGAGCAGTATACAGGGAGTTCAAGATCTGTCCTGGATGCCCAGTAACTAATCAGGAGGGAGGAAACATGTCACTGTGACCAGACAGGTCATCAAAAGTAGAGGATGGGGTAAGGGCTGAGGGGTAGCTCAGTATTCTCTTTCTCTTTCAGACATATGCATGTGCACACACATCCGCCTCATGGATACACGGGAACCTATCAGCTGCTTGGCGAGGTGCTGCCAGGGTTGGAGCTAACCCTAACTCCATCATCTGTGAAATGGGGAACACAGAGACGCTGTGCCAAACAGTGGCACAGTGGGCACCAGGGCTCACCTGACAAAGTACATGAGTCCATTCAGAGTCACAGTCTTGGGTGCAAAAGACCAGGGTGGGAGCAGGCCACAGTCCACCAGAGACCATAGGTCAGTGTCTGGGTCGTAACACTGCATCACCATGGTTTCCTTGCCCGCCAGGGAGCCGATGGCATAGAGCCGGCCTCGGCAGGAGGTGGTGGAACAGTTGTCCATTGGGTAGGTCATGGGCTGCAGGGCCTCCCAAGAGTCGGTAGTGTGGTCATAACGCTCTGTGCTGTCGGCTGCCACCACATATAGCAGCCCGTCCAGGACAGAAGAGCTGTGGTACTCTCGAGCCTTCAGCATGGGCGCCACCTCTGTCCACTCATTCACACTTGAGTTGTACCTCCATACACAGTCATAGAGCCTGGAGCCATCGGATCCACCTGCCAGGGCACACAAGGGGCAGATGGTCAGCCCACGTGGGGTGATTCACCCACCAGTGTCTTCTTGGACTTCCAGGAAGGCCTCTCCCTGCAGAGGAATTAACCCTCCTCACCCCCCTCACCTCTCCCTAAGCCCCAGTCAAAGCACCAAGCTGTCACTGAGGCAAGGCACAGGTCCACTACTGTGGTCAGAGCAGGGCCAGGCACACACAGCCTTGGGCTGGCGATGTAGCTCAGTTGATAGAGTGCTTGCCTGGCATGCACTAAGCCCTGGGTTTGATCCCCAGGTGGCACACATCTTTAATCCCAGTACTTAGGAGTCTGAGGTCATCCTGGGTTACAAAAGACCCCCATCTCAAGAAACAATAAAACAAAAAAACACCCCCAACATAACCTTTGTAGTCTTCCCACTCAATACTATCAACTAGTCCAGAGCATCCGGCCTTGGGTTCAGCTCTCCTGAGCAGCCACAAAACCTGGGATTCGGCCACCAAATTCTGAGCTACCAAGGCTGTGCCACAACGAGATGAGAGGAAACCCACACTGTCAGGAAGAGACCTAACACAGCAGGTTATACTGTCAGAAACTTCTGGGGTTCTAGTTTTCACTCTGGCGTAGAACACAGGGATATGCTTTACTTGAAAAAAAAAATGAAGTGATACACTTATGATAGATGTGTGTCAACAGAAGGCTGAAAAAGTTTGCTTTGTTGAGTTACTTTTTCTAAAAATATGTATTGTTAGCCGGGCGTGGTGGCACATGCCTTTAATCCCAGCACTTGGGAGGCAGAGGCAGGTGGATTATCTGAGTTCGAGGCCAGCCTGGTCCACATAGTTCCAGGACAGCTAGGGCTACAGGGAGACCCTGTCTCAAAAAGACAAAAAAAAAAAAAAAAAAAAAAAAATTTATTGTTTTTATTTTATGTGTATGAGCATATTGCCTACATGTATGTTGATCAATGCCCACAGAGGTCGTCAGATCTCCTGGAACTGGAGTTACAGTTATTAGCCACCATGTGGGTGCTGGGAATCAAACCTGGGTCTTCTGCAAGAGCAGCCAGTGCTCTTAACTGCTGACCCATCTCTCCAACCATTAGGAGCTACTTTAAAGTGGGTCTAAGACCATGAAACTCTCACAGTGTCAGCAGACACCAGCAGACACCAGGGACCTCTGGTCTTCCCCATCTGGTGCCCCAGAACAGGGCAGAGACACTCTGTCTCTCAGCCCTGAGAGCTTCTGGAGTAAGACAAAGGCCTACAGTATTGCTTTGGGCTACAAAGGCAGCTGATGTGGCTTCCTGGGCCCCAGGAAAATTCCACACTAGCAGCTGAATGGATGATTGAACCACTTGCCTAAACTAAAGGATTAGCTGCTCAGCTGTGACATTTATGGAAGGGTGCATGGGCCATGGGCGAGTCTGGCCAGTTCTGGGAGGCAGTTCTCTGCTCAAAGCCACCAGCCAGAGGAGATGGGGGCAGGGAGGAGCCCCAAACCACCCAGGGCCAACCTCAACTTTTAAAGAGGGACAGATTCAGGCAGATTCAAGAGGGCTGGACACAGGGTGCTGCAGGCCAGAGCTGAGCATGTCCCTGGGTTAGGCTCTGTCCCCTAGTCAGGTTGGGAGAACCGTGAGGCCACCACAGCACACATCAGAGTGGGCTGTCTGTGGAATGTACCAGGCTGGGCACAGCCCCTGTGACAACCCAACCTCATGCCTGTGAGGCGATAACAGTGCCCGAGGCCTGCCCCAGTTGCTTTTTCCCTTATATAGCAGTCCCAGAGACCGCCCCTGCAGGCCTGACCGAGGGAGGTAGCCACCCTCCAGTTAGATCAAGGATTCATCCTCAGTTAAAAATGTTGGAGAAACCCAGCACTGGAGCAAGCTGGGACCCGCCCACGGTGACTCGGCAGCGTTTTGGGGTTTCCGCCAAGTAACTGGAAGAAAATCTCTTAACATGTGACCATGTTTACAGTCGCAGCCCAGCTCAGTCTAAACACCATGTGATCCCCAGAGCCTGGCCTGGGTGCACGCTCTAGGGAAGCTTGTCACTTGTGACAAGGCCAGTGTGAGTCAGGAGGCCCCTGTGGTCAAGAAGGGAGAGAGAAAAGTCCTGCTGGGGGAGGATGCCTTACGAGGCGCCAGCCTCCAGCCTGTCCCCACATTCCTTGGAGATTAAAAGAAAGCACCCATTGTGCCAGGTCAATGCCCGGTCTCTTTCAACAGAAAAGGGGGAGGGCACCTCCAGGGAGGAGGGCAAGGAGCTGGCTAAGCCGGGCAGGCCCTACCGCACAGGGCGCAAAGACCCACACACAAGGGGGCCCTTCTCGATTGGAAGCAACCGAACAAACGTACTCAGCTGGGCCTTCGGATTCCCGGTTCTGGAAGTCTCTTGGAAAGTTCGGGGGGCGGGGCGGGGCGGGGGGCGAGCCCAGGGTGCGTCTGGGCATACCCCCCTCCCCCGGTGCACTCACCCGTCACGTAGATGTCATTGCCCAGAGCCACGATGCTGTAGCCCCCGCCCAGGTGGTCAGGGAACTCAGCCAGGTAGCGCCACTGGCCGGTCTGCGGATTGTAGCAGTCGACGGTGACCAGCTCGTCGCAGTCCTGGTCGCAGCCGCCCACGAGCACCAGGATCTCGGCCAGGCCGGTGGAGGGGCGCGGGCGCATGCGGGGGCAGGGCCCGCGGTCGTGCCGGTCATAGCGCGCAGCCTGGAAGTCGCGCGCCTCGCGTAGCAGGCGCAGGCAGGGCGGGCAGCGGGCCACCAGCGGCTCGGCCTCGACGTGCGCCAGCAGGTAGAAGCGGCGCACGAAGGGCAGCCGCACGGCCTCCAGCAGCTGCGGCCAGTGCGCGGCGCGTCGTGGCGGGTCCGCGCGCACCCAGCGCAGGGCCAGCTGGTAGGCCGCCTCCTCCTTGGGCACGCACAGCCCGTCGTCGCGCAGGTAGCGCAGGAGGCGCGCCAGCGGCAGCCGCTCCAGCTGCTCGGCGCCCAGCTCGCCCACGTGGCGCAGGATGAAGCGCTGCGCCGCGCTCGCCAGCCCCGCGCAGCTGAAGGCCTCGGCGAAGTCCTGCATGTCCAGGCAGTTGGCCAGGTCGAGCTGCTGCTGCAGGAAGGCGCCGCACGCCTCCTTCACGGCCGGGAACTGCAGCAGGTCGGCGGCGCGCAGTAGCGGCTCGGCGTTGTCGCCGCTCACCGCCACGCGCCCGGTGTAGCTGAAGTCCAGCAGCAGCTGCAGCATGTCGGGCGGCACCCCGTGTAGGCGCACTCGCTCGGCGCGGCTCTCGCGCAGCTGCCCCGCGAACATGGCGCGGAAGTACGGGCTGGCAGCTGCCAGGACCGCGCGATGTGCGGGGAAGTCGCGGCCGCCCGCCGCCTCCAAGGTCACGTCCAGGAACTTGCGCTCGGCGCGCAGCTGGCTCAGGCCGCGCAGCAGGCTCAGGGCGTGCGCGGGGTCCGAGAAGGGCAGCACGGCCAAGGGCGCCGGCCGCTCCATGACGCTGAGCTGTGGGACGCACGGACGCCGCGGCCGGGGCCTGCGGAGAGACGCGGCGCGCCGGGCACGGCCACTATAAATACGCACGGGCGCGGCGTCCCGGGGGGCGGGCCGGACTCGGGGCGGGGCTGCGCAAGCCACGCCCGCTTAACCCCTCCGAGCCCGCGGCCCTTTGCCGGGCCTCCCACCCGCGACGCCCGCCCCCGGCCCTCCAGGCTGAGTCACCGGCGCCCGCGCCCGCCTCGCCCTGCCCCGGCTTCCTGCCGCTCTCGCCGACGCTGAGCTGGCCACAGTGGGTGACAAGTGCGGATCGTGAGAGGCGGCCTCCTAGGCCCGAGAACCACCCACTAACCCGGTGCAGAGGAAAGCCCGGGGTGGGAGCTCGAAGCCCATTCGGATCCCAAGTCACCCCTTCCGTGCCAGATTCCCCACTGCGCCCTCCCATTGCCCCTTTGGTGCCAGATTCCCCACTGCGCCCTCCCATTGCCCCTTTGGTGCCAAATTCACCACTGCGTCCTCCTTGGCCCCTTGGGTGCCAGATTCCCCACTGCGCCCCTCCCATGACCCCTTCGGTGCCAGATTCCCCACTGCGTCCCGGGGGTGGGGGGGCGGCGCAGGGCCTCTGGGTGCGATGACCCTGGTTATGTTTTGTTTTGTCTCACTGGCTCCGGGGGGGGGGGTAGTTACTTAATCCCTTCAGGGGACATATTTCCAACGTCAGGATTAGTACAATTCAGGACCAAAGCACGGAATCCAAGGTTTTCGTTTTTATGATGACGTTTCTCCTTGGCGCCTTTAAGAGATTGGGGCGGGATTCCAGGATTGCGCCACGGTCTTCCTGCCTGAGTTTCAAACTCAACAGTACAGTCAAGTTTAGACAGCATGGAGCAGTGGTTTGACCTTCTTCACAAGGGGTAGGGGACAAGACCGCTGGAGAGCAGGCAGGCCGCCCAGCTCTGGACATGGCCCCAGGGGGTCCAGAGGGAGTTCAAGGTCAATGGGGGGGCTTTAGAGGCACGGGGATGGGACCCTGATTCAGCAGCCACCGTCACCTGATAGGTGCCCTCTCCCCCGTTCCTGAAGTCATTCTAGCTGAAGACCCGGCCCACTGTGTCCCAGGGGACGCCAAGCACCCTCGGTTGTCATTCCTGGGTTCCAGCTCGGTCCGCACAGCCTTGGCAGGAGACATTTTAGTTTTATTTCATTTCCGACACGAGCCTTTTTGGCTTTTCTCTTGGGCTCTGGAATCTCACCTCCGTTTTTCCCTGAGAACGCATCTGGTCTGTCAGGGTCAGCATGGGAAGAACAGGTTCTAAGGAAGAAAACGTGCAGGTGCCCAGGCAACGGCCTGTTGCCCATAGAAGGACTGTTCACACAGCCATTAAGGGCAGTGCAGCATTCCTGGGCCCAGGAGCCTGGCCAATAGCTAACTTACACAGGCTTTCTGACAAGAGCTGAGCAGACAGGAAGCAGGATGCCTTTAGAGGAAAGTCCTGCAGTCCCTGAGAGTCTGTTCTCCACCTGGCCAGAAACCCAAGGATTCAAACCTAGAGCTAAAACTTGAGAATGTTTTGGGTTTGGTTTTGTTGCCTTGTTCAATGCTTGAGATCCAATCCAGGACCTGATGTCCTGATGTGCTCAAGGTAAACACTTCATCTTAAACTGAGTTTTCTTCAAAGCACTGTGCTTTTGCTTTTCCACTCCTCAACGTTTTTTTGTTGTTGTTGTTTTTTTTTTTTTTTTTGGACAGGGTCTCCCTAAAAAGGTCTTCCCCAACCAGCCTGGAAGGCACTATGTGGACCAAGTTGGTTTTGATCTTGCAGAGATCCCCTTGCTTCTACCTCCCATAGGGCTGGGACTAAAGGTGTGCACCACCACACCCCTTGTTATGTGGATATTTATTGAAATGGGAAGATGTACATGCTTAGTGTTCTGTGAAATCAGATTACAAAGTGGGACCCAATTGTTTTATGTGTTGCCTACAAAAAAATTAGGAACATCCTCTTTTGTGGGGTGCTGGAGATTGAACCCCGGGCTTGGCTTGTGCCTGGCTCTACCACTGAGCTGAATCAGCCCAGTTTTAATTTTCTTGAACTTTTATGTAGGTTTTTGGGGTTTTGTTTTTGAGGGGAGCATGTGTAAGATGTGGGTGCAAGCAAGTCCGGGGGGGGGGCTGTCACAGGACAATCTCAGGTGTTGATATTTGCTATTTCGTTTTTTTGTTTTGAGACTGAGGTCTCACTATGTAGTCCTGATTGGCCAGGACCCTCAGAGATCCGCCCTCCAGTCTTAATTCCTGAGGGCCTGGAGTTAAAGGCTTGGGCCACCACATCTGGTTCATCTTCCACTTTTTTTTTTTTTTTTGAAGTATACATACAATTGATATATATTTTTTTCCTTTATTTTTATGGGGCTTTGGGCTACTCTAACATTCCCCCTCTCTGAAGAGGTAACCCTAAAATCTTTTAAGGATTAGGTACAAGCTCCAAAATACTTTTGACATTTTTGGCCTTTGGAACAGAGTATGTTGCTAAAGAGGCCCAAGGACATTTTCTTTTTTTAAAGTATTTTATTATTTTTATTTATGTGTATGCATGTATTGCCTACATGTAGGTAAGTGCACCTGTGTCATGCAATGCCTGAAGAGGTCAGAAGAGGCTGTCGGATCCTCTGGAACTGGAGTATGGACAGTTGTTAGCTGCCATGTGGGTGCTGGGATTCAAACCCAGGTCTTCTGCAAGAACAGCCAGTGTTCTTAACTCTTGAACCATCTCTCCAGCCTGCCCAAGGACATTTTCATTTTTCACTTTTTTTTTGAGACAAGGTCTCCTAGTAGCTTTCCTCTAGTCTCCACCTCCCATCTTCCCAGCAGAAGTGCTAGACTTAACAACATACTACATGAGCTTCTACTTGGGTTTTGGGAATTCAAACTCAGATCCTCATGCTCAGAAGGCAATCCCTCCATCTCCCCAGCCTTTTTTGTTGTTTTTTTGAGATAAGATCTCACACTGTAATCTTGGCTGACCTGGAATTTACTATGTAACTGAGGCTGGCCTGGAACTGGTGATCCTCCTGCCTTAGCCTGCAAAGTTCTGGGATTAGAGGCATGTGACAGACACCATGCCAAACTTGTATTCTTTCTTTAATACATAAGTGATGTACATTTGTTAAAGCAAAAACAAAACCTGGGTAAGGGGGCCTGGGGAGATGGCTCAGGGGTTAAGAGCACTGGCTGCTCTTGCAAAGGACCCACCATCCACATGGCAGCTAACAACCATCCATAACTCCAGTTCCAGGGGACCTGACACCCTCTTCTGACTTCCGCAGCACTTCACAACACTGGTGGATTTACGTAAGGCAGGCAATTAAACTCATACACATTGTGGTGGTTTGAATGAGAATGTCCCCCATAGGCTCTAAGTAGTTGGACATTTTGTTCCCAGTTGGTGGTGCTGTTTGGGAGGTCTTAGAAGGTGTGGCCATGCTGGAGGAAGCATGTCACTGGGGGGCTGTATTGCAGAGTTCTTAAGCCTTGCAGGATGGATCTCCAGTCATGCTCTGCATCCTGTGCTTGCTTGAAGATGTGAGAGCTCAGCTTCTGCTCCTCCTCTGCCACCATGCCTCCCTGCCGTGATGGACTCTGATCCCTCTGGAACTGTAAGCTCAAATAAACTCACCCTTGGTCACAGTGCTCTATCACAGTAACAGAAAAGTAACAGATACATAAAATAAATATATCAAAATGTAAAATAGTGAAAATAAACATGTACCTTAAAATTTTATTTTCCTGTAAAGCACATTATGACCGGAAACAACCTCTGGGCTCTCTGCAACCTAGCAGGTAGGCATTTGAGACCAGGCAAATCAGGCTAAGTCAGTGGAGGAATGTGGCGAAGATAGAAAGTCCCAGATTTAGACCTGTCAGCTGTGTGTGGAATTTTGAGTAGCCTACCGACCCAGGCATGCTAGCTGGTTCCTCTTCTTCCTTGTTGGTCTCATGGGCTCAAAATGGAAATGTGAGAAATTTCTTCAGTGCAGTGTGACTATGTCACTGACACAGTGAAACTCTACTGGAGAGAGGTATAGGCAAAGTGTGCTGAGGTGGTTTGGATCATCCAGTGACCCAGTGTGGTAGAAACTACTGTTAATGAGGGAGATGTTAAACTATCAAACAAGCAGTAGTTTGTTACACAACATTTGGGATTATAAATTTCATGAAAAGTCTAGTGAACCTCTTCTAAAATCATAAAAATGGGTCTGAGGATAAAGCTCAGCAGGTAGAACGGTTGCTAAGTATACACAGGCCCTAGGTTCAATCCCCAGCACTGGGAGAAAAACTGTACAGTCTGTTCAAATAACGTGATAATAATGTGATTTAATGTATCATAATGTTACTTAATCAATGATGGTACTATTTCAATTTAAAAACTGGGCCAGAGCTGGGCATGGTGGCGCATGCCTTTAATCTCAGCACTCGGGAGGCAGAGGGAGGCGGATCTCTGTGAGTTCAAGGCCAGCCTGGTCTACATAGTGAGTTCCAGGACAGCTGGGGCTACAGGGAGACCCTGTCTCAAAAAGACCCCCCCCCATGGGTTTATGTGCACTATGTGCATATATATGTGTCCATGGGTTCCAGAAGGGGGCATTGGATCCCCTGCAACTTCAGTTGTAAACATCCTGATAGGTGTTCTGGGAAACAAACTCAGATCTTCTGGAAGAGCAATACATGCTCTTAATCACAGCCATCTCACCCTTCCTTCCCAGGATTTATTCCTTTTCCTCAAAGTGTCATTTATTCCTAGGACATAACGGATGCACTTTACATGTAAAAGCTATGTTGGAAAAAGTGATGAGACTATGAAAAGATGTCAAACTTCTTCAAGATCAAGATACTGATATGCATAGATAAAAGGGTCACAATGGCTGGGCATGGTGGTGCATGCCTATAACCCCAGAACCTTTTTAAATTTTTATTTATTTTTTGAGACAAGGTCTCCTTGTAGCTCTAGCTGGCCTAGAACTCACTATGTAGACCAGGCTGGCCTTGAACTCACAGATATCTGCCTGCTTC